ATTATTATTGTTATTATTATTATTATTATTATTATTATTATTATTATTATTATTATTATTATTATTATTATTATTATTATGTGCATTTAAAATAAATTTTAATAATGTAAAAAAAGTTAAGGAATTAATTAAATAAGAATAATAAAATAATAGTTAACGAATTTAATATTTTCATTAATTTAAAGTAATTATTTTTTTAGTAATTTATGTATTTGTAAAATAAATAAAGAAAATAACTTTTCAAATAAATAAATTGTTAAGAATATAAAAAAAAAAGTGAAAAAAAATAATTAAACATTATGCATTTGGTATAAGTTTTGGTGTAATGGTTGGAGATGATTTTTAATTTGCTGTAAAATAGTGCAAAATATACCACAAATTTTGGTGCAGAGTTGAAGATAACCTAAAGATTCAATTATAATTTTATTTAAACTTTGATTTTTAAAGGCCGAATTGATGATTCTCATTAAAAAAGGATTACAGACACAAACATGATTTGGATTCCAAATCTCAAAATTAAAGCTTCAAGATCATCATCATAAGATTCAAGGGTTCGAAACCCTCAGTCTTATATACCAAAAAAATAATGAAACCCTATCATCTCTTTCATTATCTTACCTGGCTTTTCGTGTATGAAATTGGTTTTTGAGCGCATATTGGCCGCCAGTTGAGCCGACCATATCAAACAAAATTTAATAATTTATTTATATTTCGTTAAGTTGGTGTGCTTATAAATTATTAATAGGGATATAGAAAGGTAAGATGAGTTGGACCAAGCCAAAGACAAAATAGGCATGCTAGAACATAACATGTGAAATGGGAATCTACTTTTTACTACTACTTTTTTGGCTTATCTTATTGTGCCTTGAAGAAGCACCAAATGGACATTAGGCTCGAAAGAAACTATCATTAGTTTCAAGTACAATTCCAATATCTTATGCTTTATAATAAAGTGATCTTAATGCTAAGGCATTAAACAACCATGTGATGTGACACTTGCCATGATAAAGTGTGTAGTTGTTTATAAACTTTTTTTTAATAGTCGTGGAGAAATCAGGATCTCTTTAAATATTCCTATTTTTAAATATCGAAAGTTTTATTATAATCTTATTAAAAGGACCTTTCACCGGCCCATTATTCTATATTGTGGGACTGGGAACTACTAGAGAAGTTTTGAGGGGCTTGTTGAGATCCTAAGGGCTACTCAAAACTCGTGCATAAGATTCAAATGCTGTTCGGTAAAAGAACCGAGTTACATAACTCGCGCAATCGACATAATACACATATATGGGAGTCGGGATTATTTTATTCATGGGAGACCCACGTTGGCTATGTGAGGGTGCGGTCACCTAGAGTGTCAACGGCGCGGATCGTTTGGCATTTTCTTTGGTAAAATTAGTCTTTTAAAGAAGGGATAATATCAAAGCCATCTATTGAGTTTTATGACAATATCAGAGGCATGTTCTTAAATTTGAAAATCAAGCTTACTTTCCATATTTTCTAGTTTTGAGTATGTTACTTTTTTAAGCCATATAACATTTAAAAATTAAGTTGATATATCTAACGTGAAAACAAATATTGTCTACAATAAAATAAATTGTAGTTAATTTGCTTAAAGTAAACTATAAGAAATTATGATGATACGTTAGATACAGAGCTCGTTTGACATAATTTAAATTTTAATAATATAAATTTACTTGTTAGATACAGAGCTCGTTTGACATAATTTAAATTTTAATAATATAAATTTACTTACTTCTATGATTGTCTTGTTTTTTGTGAATTATATGTTATCAGACGAATTGTGTATGTTTTTTTATATAATATATATTATTTAATTTAACAAGATTGCTATTTATAAGTACAATGAAGTATCAAACGATCAAAAGGATGTTAATATATTATTTCAAAATATTATAATGATTAATATATCAAATTAAAATATTATATAACATGCTCGCCATTTAATAATACATTTTGAAGGTTTATAATGTTTTAGTGAACTAATTACACAATTTTTAGCTGAACTTTATATGAATTGTAAAAAGTAATGTTTATATTTAATATTTTATTTTAATTTATGAATATGAAAATTTATTGAGAAGTGCAGTTGTTATATTTAACTTATGTATTGACAATTATATCGTTAATTAAAAATATTAAATTCATTTATTATGAAATTCTTCAACAAATTTTAGATTTTAATGTCCACTCGCATGCATATTCAGTATTGTATAAGCACACAGTCTTTAAGTATTAATTTATTATTAAAGGAACAAATCAAATTGCAAATAATTATAAAAAAAAAATCACACACATACACACACATATATATATTTTCTTTTTTTTTCTTTTTTTTTTCACAATGAAACTTTAAGTATATCAACCTCATAGTAGATAATATATGACTCAAAAAGTGATAAGGGGAAGTATATGATACTGAAAGTATGAGGAAATATCTTTGATATTATCATAAATATCATGGAGTATTCCAATATTGTCTCTTAAAATATTCAAGATTTCAAGTTCCAAATTAATCCTTTATGTTATTTCAAATGGAATGCCGTACATAAAAATAGAAGTATAATACTTGTAACATGTACAAGGATATGTAAATTTTGTTGATCTAAATAGCAGTATTTTGAAAAGCGCGCCTATATGCGAGACGTAAACAAAGCGCTTTGCCTTATTAGTAAGCACGAATTATGAGTGAATAGGTGCATCTACAAGTGCTTTATTATTTATGTATTTATTTTTATCATTTTTCCCTTTTTAAAAAAACCTTTTATTTATTTTAGTTTATTAATTTTTTTTATTTTTTTAAATGATTTTTTTTTTACTTTAGTTTTAAGTTTCTAAATGACTTTATCTATACAAAAATAAAAAAATGATTTTATCTGATAAAAATTTAGATAAGATTTAAGCTATTATGCTCTCTATACTATGCAATAATGATTTTCAGATTTATGGTTTTCTTGGAAACTTTGAAAGTATTTATGAAGTTCCTATAAATTTTTTAAGTATGAATTGTTTAGTTGAAAGTTGAAACTATGAAAATAGTCTAGTTTTTTCATTTCGAAAACTTTAAAATTCTATAATTGACTAATTATAAGAATTATTAAGTAAATATTATATTTTATAATTTTAGATATATGGTACGTAGTATTTTAATTATTATATTATTTTTGCAATGATTAAGTATTTAAAATAATAATAATAAATGTAACTTTTTTTTTACACACTACAAAAAAAGGGCTCCAACGACCAACCCTTTAGCGACCATAAAAAAGTGGTAGCTATAATATGCTTTCACAGACCACAGATTGGTCGACGCAAGGCGTTGGTATGCTAAAATTGAAATATTTTTCGGAACTCTTTTTGCAACCACAGAGCTGGTTATCATTTTTAGCAATCATAAAATGTTGGTCGCTAAATAATCGGTCGTTGCATATTCAGCGACCAACTAGTGGTCCCTGGTAGAATGTTCCAACTATCAAATTAGTTTAGTCACTGAAAGTCTTGGCGAAATTACCCCCTCTTGTTTTTTCCATGTTTTTTAGATTCTTCAGTGACCAAAGAATGTGGCTGCTGATTAGTACAATGTTCCAGCGACCACAATATGGTCACATGTTGTATAACTTTTAGCGATCAAATTTACTTGGTTGCTGGAACACTTGGCGCCATCACTCCTGCTTATTCTTTTCCACATTTTTACTTTTACAGCGACCAAATTGTTTGGTTGCTGATTAGTACAAGGTCCTAGCGACCGCTAGTAAATATCTTTCAGCTACCAAACTTTTTGGTTGCTGGAATACTTGACGCCATTTTTGCCACTTATTTTTCAACTTTTTTTTACTTCCATAGTGACCAACTTTCGTGGTTGTTGATTAGTATATGATTTTGACATCCATAATCGACCATACTATACTCTATACTATGCTTGCCAGAATACCTTTTTTTATTATTATTTTATTTAAAGGAGGGTGGTACCTTCGAAATTTTATTAATTTGCCCTTATTTGTGGCGGAGGATATCATGGTTACATATGAAAATAATGAAAGCAATAGATGAGAAAAACTACTTCCTTTACAATAAAAGTAATTGTTAAAGAACAAATGTAAAGCAATAAAAGTGGAAGTACTACTTTCCTGCGTGGTCCCTATTGATACATCCAATAGAAGAATGAGACTTTGATAGGTATGATAGGGCTCCAAAGTACACGAAATGAATCATGCACTGGTCTGCACTATCTATCACGTTGATTTAGTGGTAGATCTAACATCTGATGTAACCCTCCAAAACATAGCAGCATTTCCACAATCTGCTCTACCACTTGTTTTTCATATTACCAATTCTGAGCGTTCACAAGCGAATCAGTTTTTAGTGGTTTTAGTAGCGATTTTTAAAACTGTTCGACCTATGCTTGGAAGTTTATTATTCATCGGTTCTGAATGTTTCTAAAAATGATAAAATTACGTGTACCTCCCTTGGTAAAATTTTCTTTTATATGAAATTTTTGTACTCATAAGTGATATTTTACTGATAGATTTTTTTTTCATATAAGTTAATATTTGATTTAAAAAACTAAATGAAAAAATTTAAATATTAACTTAAAATTTTTCGTTAATATTTTCGTTAATAATTGTTCGCTTTAAGGTAGGGGTGAACACGGTTCGGTTTGGGTGGTTTGTGCTCTATTTTCAACTCAAGCCATTTTGTGTGGTTTGAAATTTTTTCAAACCAAACCAAACCATTATTTGTGATTCGGTTCGGTTTAAATCCACGGTTTATCTATCGACATTATAACAATATGTTTAAAACAAGTTAACATATAAATGTAAACGAGAACTAATAATGTTAATTGTTAAATTATATTCATATTTGTCTAAAATTCGATATATAAACAAAAAGCATATTATCAAATTAGCATCTAGCAACAGGCACTCCGCTCAAACTTTTGTGAGCAATAATATCAAAATAAGTACAAGAGTACTAACCTCTCATTTGATAAAAATTGGATCACTGCTCCCTGTTGTAGAACATGATTCGGCCTCTGCATGATACGCAAATAACAAATTATTTATTAGTCCTTATTAATGATATTAACAAGCAACTAAGAAACAATATGAATAAAAATATCAAAACTGATAATAGAAAATAAATGTCACCTTCTACTGCTTTCGCCGAGTCATTCAATAATTCTACCTCGTCCAAATATTGGCGAAACACTATAGGTTCATTGCTGCTATGCAACCAATTCTTCGTGCATATTAAGGCCTCAACCATCTTTGCACTCAATGAACTCCTAAAGGAGTTAAGAATCCAACCACTCGTGGAAAATGCCGACTCTGAAGCAACCGTGGATATTTGAATTGCTAATACATCTTTGGCAATTTTAGAGAGAATTTTGTACTTGTGCACATTCAATTTCCACCATACTAATACGTCAAATTTGGGATTGGTTAAATCTTCACAATGATCAGACAAATAATCAACCAAATCATTCTTCTCAGATTGCATGTTTTGCATAAGTTTAGCTTTAAAAATAGAAGGAATTTGTTTAGAAAGACCAAAAGTAGGTTGTGAAGGACTTGAGCTACTATTTTTGGTAGCCTCCTTTGATGAAGCCGATGGTGGAGTGATTGGAGTCGCCATTTCTTCATAGCATGCATACAACCTGTGAAGTGTTTCTTCAACTCTTTTTAACAACATTTTTGCAATTTCTACATCGTAAATAAGTTCGAACCCGACTTTAAGAAGTTCCAACTTGCATCTTGGGTCAAGAACTGTTGCAATGAACAACAACTGATTAAACTTTTCAACATAGCCCTAATACTTATCATATTTTTTCCGCATACTAATTGCCATGGATCCCATCAAAGTGTTAGGCTGTTTAGCTAATTCATTCAACTCTACATGAATTTCACATATTTCTTGAAAGAAAGAGTTAGAAGTTACATACTTCGAGCCACTAAATTTTAAAGTCATTTCATAGAAAGTCTTCAAGAACCTAACAAATACTCTGCTCGATCCCATTCGACATGTGTTGGTGGTCCATTTATATTTCTTCTATCGGTCATTAAAATAATTTGTATAGTTTCCATCGCTTTCCAAAATAACAAATGTTTTTTTTAAACTTCGTAGCAGCCTGCAACATCAAGTATGTGGAATTCCATCTAGTTGTAATATCCAAACACAACAAAGCTCGAGACTCAATATTTGCTTCCTTGCAGCTCTCCTTGAACCTGTTTAGTCGTTCTGGGGAAGATCTAACAAATCTCACTGCATTACGAATAGCTGAAATAGCATGACTTATTTCTTTCAAGCCATCACAAACAATCGGATTGAGTATATGAGCACAACACCTCATATGAAGCATTTTTCCACCTAGTACTAGACCGTCCTTCTTCTCCTCAAAACAACTCTTCAATCTCAATAATGCTACATCATTCGAAGAGGCATTATCAACAGTTACACAAAAAATCTTATTAATTCCCCAGTCTTTAAGACAAGAAATCAACTCCTTTCCCACCATATCTCCTTTATGGCTTGGGACTTGAATGAAACTTATAATCCTTTTTTGAAGTTTCCGATCATTATCAACCTAATGAGCAGTTAAACACAAATAACTAACATTCTGTATTGACGTCCAACAATCAATAGTTAAAGAAACTCTATGTTGACCCAACTCTTTCTTCAATTTCTTCTTCTCATTTAGGAACAAATTATATATATATCTCTTGCTACTGTCATCCTTGAAGGAAATACAAAGCTTGGGAAAAAATATCTTGTGTAACCCTGAAAACCTTCATCCTCCACATGTCGAAACGGTAACTCAGACAATATGAAATACGTTGTAATCTGTTTTCTAACTTCTTTTTGAGCAAACTTGACAGATTCTTCATGACTATCAATACCCTTAGAAAGCTCTTCGATTTTTAACATATTATAACCGGTCATTTTCTTTTGCTTTTTATCTTGAACTCTATATGGATACTTCTTGCACAAATGCATGATATGATTCCACAATGTACTAGTTCCGCAGTTTTTTGCATGATGCTTATATGTTTGCCTACAATAATTACATTCTGCCTTCTCATCTCCTCGAATTTTAAAATGATCCCACACCTCGGACCTTTTGTTTCCCTTCTTGCATTTTCCTTCCAATTTCATATCTTCAGGGTCATCCTCTAATGGAAT